TATTACGTACATTAGATAGTAATCCCTATTTTCAAGATACATTTTCTTCACAAAAATTATTTAATCTATACATTATTACAATAATAAAGAGCCCGAGCAACAAGGGTTTCTCATCCCCTGATTTTAAAATAGTCTAATGCTTTCTTACAACGACATCTTTTGCAGCATTGACTGTGGTTGGGGACGACAGTGCTATGTCAGTCATTTCCCAGTTTGAACAAAGAATGACCAGTTTGAAATAATTATTGAATTGATAATCAAGCTTCAACATTAAATTATAATACTATAGTTATTTTGTATTTACCAGAGAGTTTGTGTGACGAAGTCATAAAAACAGAGAGGCATAATAAAGGCACACATGACCATTCTATTGTCAGTATTATTCTTTGCCATACTTGAGACACATCTGTGTATCTGAAACTGCATATAGCCCAAAAAGAACAAAGAGAATAGAGCTAAATGATACTTCGCCTCTCGAACTGGATGACGTGTCTTGTAATTGATTTGGTTCTAGTCATTTAGCGCATTCATAGCAGTTTGAAGAAGAAGTTATCTATTAATATCAAAAAAACTAAACTGCCTTGACTTAACTTCAGTATTGTGCATTAGAGTAATTCTGAAGAATATAGCCATCATTTAGTAAACAAGTGTAACAGTCTAAAAAATATTCCTATAAATGATTTCACCACTATGCAAGTACAGCTTGATTTTTATTAAGACTTATAGAGACTCTCTACCTTGTGATGCTTGTAGAGAAGTGTTTAGACAGTATCTTTATGTTTTCTTGCTGTTAGAAAGCTCATTACTTTGTCCATGTGTAAGCCGCCATTTTGTTTGCCGTGGCCACACCCACTACTTAAAGGAGCGTTGACGGGTGGTTGCTAAGGCTAATGAATTTTGTTATTTTTCCAATACATGTATAGAAGAAATGTAAGTGTGGACATACAAATATATAAACATCACACGGGGGTGAAATCAATTATAGGAACAACCTGGGGGTGTGGCCCCCAGGTCGTTAAAAATAATTATCTCTGCAAAGTAACTGACATGTAGTGTGCAAAGTAATGAAACTGAGTGGCCATGCATCATAGTGTCTTTGCAATTGATTGTCAGACGAAGTCTAAAATGTATGTTGCATCATTATCAGCCTCGTGGGCATTATATCAATCTCCTGGTTGCTTAAGTTTTAAGCACTCATCTCCTGCTCTAAACTTTGTGTTGTCTCCAGGTTTTGCTAGCACTCATCTCTTGTTCCGGGTTATAGCAGGGCCTGAGCTAATTGTCTTACAAGCATATGTGAAGCATAGATTTCAGCAACTGCCTTATAACTGTGCAATTTTTCAATAGCCTGACGCAGTGATGGTTTCGTTGATAATTCTATTATCTGTCAAGAAACTATTTGCAAGAGAGTCACAACATCAATGTTTACAATTGTGCTTTTAAACAAACTATGTTCATAGTTTGTCTTGCACACAAAGGAATATGAATAGAGATAAACTTGCATTATTGGAAAATAAGAAATAGGACATGAAGTGGATCTATATTCATGACTTGGTGGTAAAAGTGTAGGTTTCAATAAATAAGAAATATAATGGTCATTTTCAATAGTAATAGGCAATACTGGAGTATTGGATTCTGATAACAATCATATTATCTTGAAAGAGAAGTGGGAATAGTTTTGAATTACACAACATGTGCTTCAATTTTAACAAGTAAATAAAAAAATTTCTATTAAATAAGAAAAAGTAGGGTTGTCAAAAATAGAAGAAACAAGGGGATTGCGTTCAACCATAATAATAATTAATAGGTCAATCAATAATAAAACTTAATTAATAAAGAAATATTATTCATAAAATGGAACACAAATTTCATACCCTACTTTGCAGAAAATGATGACAGGCAGACTACAATAAAAATAGAATTTAATGAGCATGATGCTGGATAGTCAGCAGACACTTTTCGAGCTTTAAATGTCAAAATTTGCCTTCCATTTAGTTTCAGTAGATGTCCGCCATCCTATACAGTTAATCACAATGACATTGCACACTATATGCAATTATGACTTACCAAATTTTTGACATCACCTACAATATATTCTAAGACTGAAGCCATCAAGTACCTTTTAATAACAGATGTCATGGCAATAGCTGCCAAATGAATGTGCCTTTGTAGGCTTCTGTTGATGTAATGACCAAGCATACAGTGACAGATTCTTTAAAATGAAAGAAGTCAAATCATTTATATAGTACAATAATTAGAGTGTGTATACCGTATACGGCATATATTTTGCAGGTGTAAAATTTTGCGATTTGGCTGCAATTTTAAATTTGCTAATAAAAATTTTGCATTTTTTCAGTAATAATTTAGATTAAGCTAACCGGTTAAAAGTTATGGGCATGGCCCATATGATGAGGGTGTGGTCAGTTTCAATGCACGTGTATTTGCATGTTGATGGCTCTAGCCTGATGCTATGTTTTCTTTTGTTTATGACTCTGTCATTCGTGGCCACCACATTTATAAAGAAATTTGGATACCTCTGTTGGGTGAAATCTTGTCCTGTGAAGTGGAGCCAGGCAACATTTTTGATCCATATGCTGTTGCTATAAAGAGATCGTGTATCTATGGTGACAATGCTACAGTAGGACATGTTCCTCGTAAGATTTCAGCTGTTTGCTGTATGTTTTTGAGAAGAGGAACAATTAATTGTAATGTTACAGGTGCTAGAAAGCACTCTACTGATCTTGTTCAAGGAGGATTAGAAGTACCTTGTACATTAACTTTTACTGGAATGAAGCAAGATATTGAAAAGGTTAAAAATTTGTTGGAGTGTGCTCCAAGTGTAGACTATCCATTGCCTGTACCTGCTATAAAAAGAAGCACTAGTCACATCTCAAACTTCTGAACCACAGATTAAACGACTAAAGGTTGATAAAACTACAGCCAGTCACAGTGTAATTATTTCAGATGATGAGGCAGCTGTTACTGATGATGAACAATGTCTCCACAATGAGTCAGTATAGAAGTATTGTTTGGACGAAATCCCACATTCACTCTTTCAGCATTAGATCAAGCAGTTACCCTAAATGGAGAGCTTCTGAATGATCAACATATAATTTTTGCTGAGTCAGTCCTCCTTAAGCAATTTCCTGGTACAAAAGGATTGCATAATACATTATTAAATGACAAGTTTGCTACACTAGAAATCACAAGAGATCAAGGATTGCAAATTTTTCATGATCGGTCTAACCACTGGATCGTTGCTTCAAATATTAAACGTACTGACAACAATGTTGAGGTTTACGATTCTCTGTACACCAGTGCTAGTGCCAAAACTAGAGCTCAAATTACAAATATTTTTTGACCACTTCTCGACAGGAAACCTCGGCTGAAAATAATGAAAACACAAAAGCAAGTTGGAACTAGAGACTGTGGTTTATTTCAATAGCTATAGCTACGTCTATCCTCTTTGAGCACGATACATCAATTCGACTTTATCAACAAAGGATGAGAGATCATCTTGCAAGTTGTTTTGAAGCAAAAACACTCACACCGTTCCCAGTTGAAATAGTCTATTATCTCAAAAATAATTAACAAAACACTTTGATATGATTATGTTAACATTCGTCAATTGTGACCCGATTTGAGAAAACCAGGCTATCTGCGGGATTTTGGTAAAATCAGTTTTTGGTACTTACAAAAAGAGAAAAAAATTTCCTTTCCAACGACATTCCATTTATGACAATGCGCAATAAAACTTTGAAGTTAGGAATGTTTCCGTGTCACACCCATTCACGTAGTAAATGTCACCACACCCACTACGTGAACCACACCCACATCTATTAATAAACGGGTAAAGAAGAAAGAAGCACTTGGCAGCGTTTTAAATTACTTTTTTTGCTTTTTGGACATCTTAAGAGTGATCTAAAGCCCAGCCATGCATTGAAACTTCAAATACAAGTAAGTTTTTTCATTGCAAAAGTTGTTCAGTTATTGCTGTGTTCTAGTGCCAATGAAGTCCTTTCTGTGAACTGTAATAACATCATCTGGGTCATACACTTCATTTACATCCAGACATCACTTCTGCTTCAGTTTACAGGTAATATTTTTATTTAGATTTTTATTTTGAACTATAATTCAGGGATATACATTTAACGTTAAAATAATTAATAGTTTTTGCACTTGCTGATGAATCCTATAGAAGATTATTGTTATTCTTATGTTTCATAATGTTTCTTTCCTTACTGTTGGATGAGGGGCTCCTCCTCTTCCTCCTTGGCCTCCTCCCCTCCCTTCTTTCCCTCCTCTGCCACATTTTCCACCTTTACCTCAACCTCCTCCTCTGTGTTTCCTTCGCTTCTTCTAAGCAGAGGAAAAATTATAGTGATTACTCATTTCAATAATGCTCCTTTGATACTTTAAATTTCTTTCTTTTGTCTCTCTCTGTCCCAGTCTCTTCTCCTGTCCCTGTCTCCTCGCCTGTCTCTGTCTCCTCCCCTGTCTCTGTTTCTTCTCCAATCTTCTCACTACTCCCATTCCTCTCCCTCCTGCCCTCTTCAATGAGTTCCAACTGCCCTAATTTACAATGGCATAAAGCCTTTAATATACACTTAAAATTATGTTTACTTTGGAGAGCTGGCCGGAACTGTTCCAAGTCTTTAGTTAAGAAATTTGAATTTAAAGTACAAGTAATTTAACTATTGTTTAATTACCTAAATGCCTTCTTTCTTCTTGCCTAATTGTTGTAAATAGGACTAAAATAGAATGCAAAATTACTTTTTAGTTTAATAGTTCTTCTCATAGCTGCTTCACAACAAAAATTGTCACACAATCACACATGTAAATAAACTTACTTAAGCCATTTGATTCTCTTCAAAACAATTAAAATTAAAAAATTAAGAAACAACTTTTAATCTTACCATTCTCCTTTCGACTATCTCCACTCTTCTCTTTGTCTCTGTCCCCTTTCTCCTCTGTCCTCTCTCCTCTGTCTCCTTTCTTCTCTTTCACCCTTACTTCATCTTTTTCTGCTATAAATACAGTTATTTTTTGCTTGTAATGTACAACACAAACATTCATGTACAAACAACTTACCAAGTTCATCTACCAAAAACAAAAGGCATTATAGTTACCACTATAGGGTTACACATTCCCCAAATACCATCAGATGGATGGACCTCAATGAGGACATCCTCTATTGGGGCAGCCATTACTTTTTGATTTTGAACTTACAGTTTCAGGTGTCTTATTTTATATCCTAAAGGTCACAGGTGACACTTGGTGTTCTTTGATTGGCTGTGAATGACGTAATAACTTCTATTTCGGTATTCTCCTCCCACACATTTTTATTATCTGTCCTCTCACCTGTACAGATAAACACAAATCACGTGCATGATAACTTCGTGACTAACTTTCTCTTAGGCCTTCTCTTTTGAGTTAGTACGTTTTAAACAAAAATGAGTGTTTGTGTTTATGTTGACGTCTCACGCACATACTAGTTCCATACTTTTGTTTTCAAAAAAGGGTATCCATAGTTTGTATGTCTTAGCGTTACAAACGAGTTCCTCTCCTTTAGGGGATCAATAGTTTGAATATTTGTCATTCAAACTAGTTCCACTCCTGTTTCAGGGGATCAACTAGTTCCACTCCTGTTACAGGGGATCAATATTCTGTTTGTTGTAGACAAACTAGTTCCTCTCCTGTTGAAAGGGGATCAATAGTATGTGCATTACACAAACTCATTTCTGTTATTCATTTACTGATAACATGGACAAGTTCTTCTATTATGACCAAATTGACAACAATTACCACATTTCCTTTGTGTTGCAGGTGGTTCTAGAGACTGCCTGGGAGAATGTGGTACTTCAATCTCCATTGCAAGGTCTGGTGGATTATTTACACCTGGAGTTGATTGTCGAGATGATCCTGTTGGTTGAGGTGCATCAGGAAGTGGGCAGGTTACATCTTTACATTCGTATCTGCAAAACGATCTTATCTTTTCGTAAAGGTACCATTTCCTTTCAGTTGACATACCCTTGGGTGGTAATATATTAGGTAGTTCATCTTCCATTATTTGAGCGTCCTCCTTCAGCAAATGGAATTGTGTGACTGGGCCATCTACAGCTTGTCTGGCTGCAAATACTACACCAGGTGAGGTCGCATTTACAACTAAGTGTTGAAAGCCTTTGATGCCTTTTATTTTCTTGAATAATGTAGCAAAGTAACTAGACCAGTCAAGTGTTTCTACAATGAGTTCACCATTGCTACTTCCTACTGGTTGGGCTTTGTTCACAGTAGATGATGTTCTACAACTTGAATGAAGTCATCCAATGAGTCTACCTCTGCTTTACGGAATTTTTGCTTTAATAGTCCGAAGCACCAGTCTGGAGAAAATTTTGTGTCCAACTGGCAGAAAGGATATTGAAATGGATGCATCGAGTCCTGTCATGACTCTCCATAAGAGGTACTAAAATAAAGAATTACATTTAAAATGTTCATTATTGTGCATGTATTATACTTACTTGAATAACTGTATTATTT